TCTCCTTTTTTACCGTAATTAGTACTTTATATAAGCGCTTAAATGCACTCCAAACATGTAATGTGCTTCTAATTTTATAAAGGCCAGAACGTATGGGTCTATTCCGGGTGCAATGCTGATACTAAATATATATTTTTTTTTTGCTTAGATTATTCTCGAGGAGGGGAAATCTTCAAAAGACGCCCCTTGAACATACTAAGTATACTACAGAATGTCTTTATATACAACATTCACACCTTTTTTGTTATTAGACAATACAAACCGGCCGGTACCGCCGCAACCGCTATGTTCCTACGTTTTAAATCTGTAACATCCTCGAAAATATTAATTTAAATTACATGCTGTAAAGAGCCACATTGATCTATATTAAATGCACAATGTATTTAAAATTACTTAATTGGATAAGGATTAATGATGTATTGCTTAAAATCGCTTCTTAAATAAGCCATTATTTCTTATAAAAAGTAAAGGATAAAAAATGGTTATTGTGGGTTATCCTTAAGAGATAGACAGATACTATAGCGAATTTTTTATAGACCGTTTTTTAGGTGTACAACACTGTAGTACATTATGTTGATAATCACGTAGGGTTCACCACCGTTTGCAATGTAAGCGCAAAAAATGTGTTTATTTACGACATCAGATTAGAAACCTCTAGAATTATCAGTGTTTCTCTACTATATTATGCATGTATTATACATATAAACCTTCCTCTTGAATCACTCTATCTATTAAAAAAACAACATTAAAATCCGTTGCGTAGTTTTAAAGATCTAAGCGTACATAGGGATAGACAGCGGGGGAAATGCGTTGCATGATTTCGTTACATAGCGACTCGCATGAAACGAACTTACTCTACCGTGCGTAAAGAAGTTTCACTTCAAATATAGAATAAATTTTTTTGAAATTTTGCCAGATACCGTAGGAATAAATGAGAATTTGTTTAGTTTTTTCACACATTGTTTGTGGGGCAGTTGAGAATTCAACTTTACTTTTCCATCAAATTAAGTAACGCTGATGCATCATCATCAATTACCGTAAAATCCCAATGATGATCATTGAATTTGTAATATACTGTACTGAGCACAACATTTTATAATTTGTAATTTTGGTGCTAGTGAAACACTATTCAGTTTCACATAATTTTTCTTATGTAGCAATTAAAGTGTTGTGGTGACAATTGACAATGTAAAAACTGAAGATTTAAAATCATGCAGTCAAATTAACGATCAGTAAAACCAGTTTTTCTTTTTAATTGCTTCATAAAATAGAGACGACAAAAAAGTTGTCGATTCATACAAAGTATCAGCTTTATTACTTTTTTGTTTCATATGTCTAAATCGTACAATATAGGAGTACACATTACAACTCAAACTACTATCGTTGAAGTTGAAATGAACTTTTCAAATGACAAATTGGATCGAAATTTAATATGAAATGCTCGTCTAGTAATGTTACTCAACGATTAAATTTTTGCGTAGAACTATGTCTGGGATTTACCTAACTTACTGATTAAAAGAACACTTTGTGCGTAGAAAATGATAAAAAATGTGATATATAAACAAGGATTTTTTGTTTTAATTATCTATGATCTATAATGTCAATCCAATGGTGTTAGTTTTCTTTAATATTAATTTTCTTTTGAAACAGAAAAATGATTTATATGTATACCTCTGATCATTTCTAATGATTATGTGCACAGATGGTTAAGTTTTTGTACTTGTTAGTAGTAGGTAACATTTTCGTTACAAAATACATTCAAACTTTCAATTTGTTTTGGGTTATTTTAAAGCTATTTAATTGGTGCAATTAAATGTTGAACAAAAGCGTATATATATAATGTATATTACGAAATTACATACTTTTGATTTTTCCGGGAAGTCATCTGAAGCATTTTTCACCCAAGGTGCATTCGCTTTCTTGAATGTAACTTCGTCTAACACTTTAAAAGCTTTATTATTGTTTTTCTTCATTTTTTTACTTCACTTTTTGTTTAAGTTGTAGTTATCATTTTTAGTGGCGAGCCGTGTGAGATCGACTTTTGGCTATAAGGTATTAACCGCTAAATATTCA